TCTCTCTCTCTGTCTGTCTCTCTCTCGCTCTCTTCTCCCCACCCATCCACATGCAGACGCACACAGAGACACAGAGACAAAGAGACACAGACACACACACACACAGAGACACGCACACGTTATCTATGTATCCATTGCCTGTGTGTTGTGTATCTATTATCTATCTATCTATCTATCTATCTACCTACCTGTCGATCTATCTATGTGTCTATCTATCCATCATCGTTCGATCGATCGATCGATCGATCGATCGATCTATCTATCTATCTATCTATCTATGTATCTATCTATCTATCTAATCTATCTATCTATCTATCTATCTGTCTATTATCCATCTCTCTCTCTCTTTCCCTCTCTCTCCCAATCAACCAATCAATCTATCTATGTGTCTTTCCCTCTCTCTCTCAATCTGTCTATCTATCCTAGCTAGCTATCTGTCTTTATATCTGTCTATCTATCTATCTATCTATCTATCTGTTTATCTATTTATGTATGTATCTGTTTATCTATTTATCTATCTATCTATCTATCTATCTATCTTTATATCGATCTATCTATCTATGTATCTATCGATCTGTATATCTATCTGTCTATTTATTTATTTATCTATCTATCTATCTATCTATCTATCTATCTATGCGTCTTACCTGTACTCGTCCTTTTGCCTCGTTGTGGTGCCTGCACCGAAATCGTAGCATGCAGGATTGGAGTCCTGGGTATCTGAGGGTTTCCGAGCGAAAAGGCCCCTTTTCGAAGGTCGTGTTTTGTGTCGACCTGACGAGCTTTTGCTCGAGCAACGGATCTGTTCACCTGGTTTAGGGTTTAGGGTTTAGGGTAGCGGAGACGGCCTCTATACATGAGATGTTTTCTGAGGAGACCGTCTCGGAGGCAGGTGGGTTTCGAGTTTGGTGATCTGTTTGGTCTGTGGCTTTTTTTAGTTGGGAGGGAGTCTCGCAAGAAAGTTACTTATCCCTAAGAGTTCCCTGCCGGCTGTTGCATCATCCATGGCGTCTGCTTTTCTCGCATCGACTTGACAGCGGAAAGTAGGCTGTGGACAGTAAACCCAGAACGTCTACGTCACCTATCGTCATGGACACCATGTAAGTTGTGACAAGGCTCAACGCAGACCCACCGATTTTCCTGTCCTTTTGACCACCTGACTGCAGGCGCCGGCCGGCCGATCACTCAGTGTAGGCTTCAGAGCATTTCAAGTTGTCGGGATCGCTGGCATATCTGCCCGGTCCGCCAAACCGACGATGCCGCAATCTTGCCAAAGGGTGTTTGCAGAGCCCTTCCAGAAGTTTTGCTTGAACCGCGACGAAGATGGAGACAGCCCGAGCTTGATGTTGGCAGCAACCAAATTCCAGAAAAGAGCCCAGCAACGATTACCCAAGTCCATTGCTCAAAAGAACGGTTGCATACAGTTCTATGATGAGTTTTACAGGCACAAGATCTTCCGGAAGTCTTCCTTCGGTTGCATACAAACGCCTTGTGACCTCATGTGTCATTGCAGTACTCTCACACATACTACAATGTACGCTCATGTGCTGTGCAATATATACTGCAACATAGTTTCATATGCTATAATGTACTGTCATATACTATCATGATAATGCACTATGACAAGTATCTGATACTATATAGTATACTACAACATACCACCTTATAGATGTAGTAAGAAAGTTCATATATATATTATATATTATATATACATATGTATATATATATACACATACATACATATGTATATATATATATATATGTACTATGTAGTGTACAGTATAATATAACCTTCTCGAGACCGAGGTGGGCCCCCAGCGGTGCCGGAGATCGACGAGGAGGTCCGGGAGCTGGCCCGGAAGACCTTCGAGGCTTACTGGGTGGACTTGTATATCATTAGGGTTTAGGGTTTAGGGTTTAGGGTTTAGGGCTTAGGGTTTAGGGTTTAGTATACGATATTAAGGAGTATATGCCAGTTTATTCTAGTATGTGATAGCATTCTACTATATTATGTAGTAGATGATAGTATTAGATGTGTGTGTATGTATGTATATATATATATATATCACGCGCACATACGTGCTTATTACAAGAACTTGGAGATGCCGCGCTGACATCCAGACTGCACGCCTCAAGGCTGCAAGAGAGCGCACGAAGGATGCAGGAATGCTGAAGCTGAAGTTTGCTGCGATTGTGACAGACGGCTAGCTAGTTTTGCTTCTTTGCAGGGCGCCGTCATTCGAACCTCGCTTAATGCCCTTGCTCCAAGTCGTAGCTGTGGCCTTGACAACCCTTTGCGAAGTGTCGTAGTTTCGTGCTGAGCTGTGCTTAAATCTGGGATCAGAACCTCCTCATTGGCTTAAGGTCCTGGCAATGAATTTGCCCTGTTGCTGCCAGTGGTGAGGGCTTTGTCCATTCACTGTGTCGGATCTGCGTGGACATGTCAGGAGGCTGCGGCCGACGGTCGGCTCGCTGATGCTTTGAGCCGCAAGCCCAGCAGAGCACGGGATGGAACGAGCGTCGAGGCTTGTCAGGTTTTCACCTGTGTTGTGCGATCGCTTCGGGTCAGGAAAGCTGCCCTATTCGAAGCAATTGTGTTGGCAACTCACAGCTTGTCGTAAGCACGAACACCGTTTATTTGTGTTGTGAAACGCCGCCGAGCGGCCTGTTCTAGTTGCGCAAAAATATCCCGCAGTGCCTATGTTCCTTCTGTGTTCCGATGGCGCGGCGGCGTGGCACTCGGTCGCAGCGAGAGTCGATAAATGGAAGGAAAAGGAGCAGCTTTATCGTCATAGTGGCCAGAAGTATCAACGCAACAGTGCATCATGATATTGCGATCTTGCACACTGTCTTGCTAGTGAGCACCACTAGTCAAACTGCCGTGAGCCTGTTGCCTGCAATGTGCGAGGGCGAGAGTCTCCGAGTTGCTTTTGGTGTACAAAAACCCGCTGTCAAAGGCCGTCGTTGTCCGATTTGTACGTGCCGAAACCCAAAAACCCTCCCAACACCTGGATTGCCCGAGTTTTGAGCGCCGAAACCCTAGTCCCGAAAGCCCTCTCAGGTCGTAAAGCCCTAAAGTCGAAACCCTTTTCGTACTCTTTCCCTGACATCGCTATGGATAGTCACTCGCCGACTCAAGACCACATGCCTCGCCCGGACAGTCCGAGTGTGAGCGCCGAAACCCTAAGCCTTAAACCCCCGCCTAGTGCGCGACCTAGGCTGTTGCTGGGGTGCTACCTTGGGGTCGTTCGGGATAGGTTCGCACACTCGGGCTGCACTTGCGAGTTCAGCGCGGAGTGACAGCCCTTTAGCCCATGCGGTTGCGTCCCTCAAGAAGTCAATCCTCCCTGGCACCTGCTCTCGCGTCTTTCAGCGCAGTTTCCCCTGCGGTGCGATCTAGTCAGCGAAGCGGGTGGGGAAAGAAACCCGAAGCCCTAAAGCCGGAATCCCAAATTGTGACAAGGCAAGGCCTTGGCTCCAGAGGCTCGCTTTGTTCTAAATGTATACATATGTACATGTACATAGTATGTGTGTGTATGTATATATATATATATATAAACATATTTCTTAGATGAACGACCATATAGAAGATATGTGTCTGTATGTATGTAACTATATCTATGTGTGTCTGTCTGTATGTATGTATTGCGGGTAGTGTTTCGGTGTTCGAGGGGTTTAGGGTTTGGGGGTTTTGGGGGCTTAGGGATTTATTATCCGGGGTTGGCGGAGTCGCAGCAGGCCAGTTGCAACAGGGTTCGGGGTTCTTTCGCCTTAGTAGCAGGTCCAGGCTGCCAGGACTTGTCGGTGAAGCTGTGGGGCTCGCCAAGGTCTCGCTTGCAAGACCGAGAGTGTAGTACGAGGTTTTATGAGCGTTCTAGATACATAGGTAATGCCCCGGTGCGCGTGCAGATATGTAGAGAGAGAGAGAGAGAGAGAACTATCTATATCTATATATGGATTTATTTATTTATTCATTTGTTTATTTATTTATTTATTTATTTATTTACTTATTTAGATAGATAGATATAGATAGATATAGATAGATACATAGATAGATATGCATATACAAAACATGTGGAATTATTTGCAGGTGTAGACTCTACAAACAGCCCCGCTCACTGAGCCCTGCTGTCTTACTGGATGAGAACTGTAAAGGCTCTGGCAACACCATGCCTTTTTCATGCTGCGAGTGAAGTAGGAAGGATCGACCGCCATGCTCGTTCCATTAGCCTCATCTCTGTGAGGACGGTTCTGCTTGGTTAGAGCGGTAAAGCAGGTGGTACCCGTTCCAATTTAGAATGCCAGGTGACTCTTCACAGGCTTCTCTGCGGCTGCCAACATTGCTACTATTCTGTTAAATTTTGTGATTGTGATTGCCTTTGCTTATGCGTGCTGCTACGATTGCAGTCACTATTGTTCTTGATCTCACCATGCAGATGTTTTGGTTCATCATGGGTCTTATCCTTTCTTGTCATCTTTGGCCCCGTCATCATTGTCATCACTGTTGGTC